CAGTTTTTCTATTTTGTATCAATGAAAGAAGCTAAGAAAGTAGTCAAGGTATTAAGCTAATCCATTTCTTCTCCATTAGGGTACCACTGCACATCCTTTTCTCATTTCTTCCAAGACAAGCTCCTGTTTCATTAGATTTCTCTTTCCTCACCTGGATAGCTTTGCTTGAACTCCAAAGCTGCTCACATGAGCAGAACATGCTACAGAGAGAAGCTATGCATAGAAACACACTCCTTTCTAACAAGGAAGCACCAAACAAACTAGACTGCTTCTAAACACACCTGGCTATCACTCAACTCACATGTCATAAAGTGCCACTCATGAACCTATACTCAGTATCAAAATAACTAACAGGTAAAAAGTGAGCCTGAATTCTCTGGTAGAGTAGAAGGCCATCTAAAAATAAAACTTAAAAAGACATTCAACATAAAAGCAACAGAGGGGGAAAAAAGGCTTTGTCTTTATTTTTCAGAAGTATTTGCTCAATTTTTTCACAATAATTTTCTCAACAAATATGTCATAGATCACTGGATATGAACATAAGGAAGGTTATGACAGTCATCTGCATAGCAAAGGTGACTGACTCATATTCCTCTCGTGAGATCATTAACTTAGATTCAAAGGGGGAATATTTTTCTAGTTTCTCAGAATGATGCATTACAGAATATTTGCATACCTTGGTGAGTCTAAGAAACTCTTGCAAACATGTTACCTAGATCAGCTTTAAATTGCTGAGTTTAAGGCACTAAGAATATTTGACATTTTTCATAGTACACTTATAATTAAAAGTGCAAAATATTAATCTAAAAGCTAGATATCAATAGGTATCAATAAAAGCTTCAGTGTGAACCACAGACTTCACAAGAAGAAGAACTTAGTAGTTATAATGCTACACATTCTCTTAAATTCAGAAGTATTATTCTCTTGACCAAAGTATTCACAGTAGAAAATTAGGAAGGAATTGCTGTCAGTTTAGATGTAATAATGAATGTGTTAAATGCACCAGAGTGGATATTGAGCAGATATAAGAAAATCACTGGAAAGTTCAGAAAAATCATTCATAAAAAATTCTGATAATATCTACTCTGCTGCAGATAGATAAAGTAGAATATTCAATTTCAGGGATCTTCCTTTTTTAAAAAATTGAGAATAAAAATGCACAAGTTACTACAGTCTTGTTCCATGAACATGTTCAGTGGATCAATCACAGAATTACAGAATCACAGAATTGTAGGGGCTGAAAGGGGCCTCTAGAGATCATAGAGTCCAACCCCTCTGCCAAAGCAGGCTCCCTAGACCAGATTGCAAAGGTAAGCATCCAGGCAAGTCTTGAATGTTTCCAGAGAAGGAGACCATTAAAAAGTAGAGTAAATGGTTTTCCTTGAGATGCAAAATATCTGTTACAATCTTTATTCTTTAGTTGCATGCAAGTTTGTGTCAGCTTTCTTCCATGTGTATTTTCATTGTGATTATGAAGAAAGTGTTGTATTTTTGTGTGATATTTAATCTCCCTTTTTTTTTTTTTTTAATTGCTGAAGACTGACTCCAGTCCTTTTATCCTAGTCACTTATATCGTAGATTAAAAATGTGCTGTTCTACAGAAAAACCTGGTAAAGTGGTCTTAGAGGAGCCTCTGACACCAGTGCTGAAGTTTTCTTTCACTCTTTCTTTGTGGATGTACCTCTGGTTTTCTTTATTCTTAGGATCCATGCTACCATTAACCAGGCAAAAGCACATGCAAAAATGTCCCCTCTATGGGATACAAGTGTGAACGGCAAACATTTTGAAAGCAAGATTTCTGTTGCACAGTGAGTGATATAGTGAACAAAAAAACCCTAATAATAATAATAATAATAATAATCTGCCAGAGATATATTAAATCAGAAAAGCACAGGAAAATCCAATAAATCAATGACTTATAAGCAACTAGAAAAAAAACATCCCTATCTCTAGATTGTTTTACAGATTATAAGATAAACATTCTCAGGACTTACTAAGAAAGTTCAGAATGAACATGCTTTTGCTGTAGATATCATTTATGGATTACAATATCATTTTCATCTTTGTATGTCATTTCAAAAAACACTGATCATAGTTTTTATGCACAAATCACAACAAATCAAAAGATATATTTTATTTAAATATAAAATGTGAATAACACATGCTACTCCAGGTGGAGTCAAGAGGAATTTTTATGTAACTTGGCAAACCTATTGAAAAGTGTAAGATTTGTATGTAGGATGATCTTAAACTGTCTGAACCTGTGAAGGGGTTTAAAGTCTCAGAAACAAAATGGGGAAAATAAAAGGTAAGCAAGACAAACATGTCTAAAACCATCCCACTGAAAAAGTAAGTCATAGGGAATAAGCTCCTTTGTAAGACAGCCAAATCAGTATAAGTAGGGAATAAGTAGAGAAATCTTATCTGACCAAAGACAGACAGATACTTTTATGCAGAAAATAATTTGGAATTTACAGAGAAGGAAAAAAATAATACCTGAAAGGAGACATGGCTTATTGTCTCAATGTATTTTAAAGGCCTTTGTTTTGCCCCTCTTTCTTTCTAGAAGTTAAATTATTTTAGAATCTTTAAACAGCAATAATCTTGTCTGAAACTTTGCTACAAAACAGTGAATTCCTACTCTTCAACACAACCTAGAGAGATGACAGAACTGACAGAAACACAACTTCTGATACTGCTTCAGGTGTCGCCATAGAAAATCAAGCTTTCCACCCCCATTTCGCAGAAAACAATTTTCCTGTAAAGAAAATGCAATCCTCTTCCTACCTGAATCACATACATTATATTTCTTACTCTCCTTCAGCGTGGAATGGAATGGAATAATGTGTAGAGAAAGCCATTTTATTTATTGTCTTTCAAAAGAGAGAAATTACGTTGGTCTAAAAGCCCTAATCACACAATACTCAATGAGAAGCTATCATTGATTTTGTTGAAAACACCACATTCCATCACATTTGTTACTGTAATGATTTCTAGCCCCAGAAGATGCTTAGTGTAGGTTCAGTTGCCAAACGATTGTATTACCACACACTTGAGATGGAGGTAAACAAATAGATGTTATTACCATTTGAAATTATGTTTTTTGGGGGAAAAAAAAAAAAGTTATTTATCTCTCTATGCTAATTATTTATCTTTTCTTAGTAAAAAATATTACATAAACACCTGCTGCTGCAATGCAGTGGCTAACAGCACTTAACATTCATAGTTTAGTATACATTTAATAAGAATGTGAGGAATTACTATGAGTCACTGCCATAAGTTGTTTCCTGATGAATGGGGCCTTTCAGAGACAAAATGATAAATGCAAACCTCCAGATAACTTTTTCTGTTACAATGGAAACATGGAACAGAAGAGATTGGCTTAACCTGCTTACTAATGTTTTCATATTTTGAGCTGTATTGTTCTTGACGTTATATTGACAGACTGTGATAAAATTTGAACTCTGGCTATATACTGATTTTCTAAAAAGCTGTCACTTCTTAATTATTTAGAGCAGTAAATTATTTTTCTAATGAAACTTTTTGAATTTTAGAACCTCATTGCTGTACTTGATGGGTAGAAATCCACCCTTTCTGCTAAAACAAAACTGAGAAAATTAGATAACATTTAGTTTATTAAAATAATAATAATAATAATAATAAAAGTGTAGTACTGCATCTTTATACAGATCAATGTCTAATTATAAGCAAAGACTTGCTGTGGCAGGAGGTTAGGAAAAATAATCTTTCTGGCATTTATTAGTTGAAAAATAAGGTCATATTTGAGGTCAATTCTCAAATATACACAGAATAAGTTGTACTGCAGCATTCTAAATATTCTACATAGCAAAAGTCACATTTCAATCCCAACATAACCAAAAACATGTTCCTAATGAATGTATAACAGATCAGACGGGGCTAGCTATGAAAACAAAACTAAACAAAACAAAACAACAACAGCAAAAAACCCCTAGATCCAATTAATCAACAATTAATAAAAAGCTTATATTTTTTTGCTCAATTATAAATGTATCTTCTCAATAACACTGACTTATTTAATTATCTCTTAACTTTCTCTAACACTGAATCATCTTTTACGCAACTAACCTAAAATAAATATATAAAACATTCCAGCAGCAGTGCTGTTTCTTATTGCCTACAATCTTGGCAAAATCACATAAACACAATGCTTAAGTGCTCAGTTTGTTGGATTTTTTTTTTTTTTAATTGTTTCTTTTGAAATAAAAGACCTCATAATTAGATAAAGTATATCTGGAAAAAAAAAAAAAAAAAAGCATTGGACACAGAGTTTGAAGAAAAAAATATGCTTATCTGTCAGAATGAAAATTTGCAGAGATTGTGGTCATTGTTCTGCTATAAGTAATTTTAGCTGATTCACAGACATTCATCTTTGATACCTTCATAGAGTGTGATCAGATTATTTTATTTTTTGAAATGCTCATACTACTATTAATTGTGAAATCAACATTACAAATAGAAATATACACCCTTGAAATGAAAACATTTCCTGATCGGTTTTTACTGTTGTCTGATATCCCGAGTCTCTCTTTTTTAACTCGCATCCAAACCACAGAAGGAATGTAAATGACTGCTGCTCTTTTATCTGTTGCAGTCATGTCTGGGTTGAGCTTTCAAATCATGCTTTGGCTGAAGAACAGTATATAATATATCACAGGCAATGCCAGTGGAGATAAAGTATTTTCTAATCATTTTAGAGAAGTACTAATTTTATTTTTATTATTATTATTATTATTTTAATCTACTTTGGTTCTATGGAAGAAAGATACTTGTGGTTTCAATTAATATTCTTTCTGAAAGATCATGAATGCCTTTGCTCTGGGCTAGGCACAAGATTTACAGTTTTCTCTGATAGTATTATCAGAGGGCTATTCCACTCTGTTACACTGCAACTGCAACACTATTAGGTTTATAATGATGGCTTAACTTTACGCTTTGTAAGCACTGGAGGCTTCACTCACCTTGTTCAAGTGGCTGGCTTTTAGTTGAAGTAGTTTTCATCTTGAGTGCCTCCCTAACAGACATGTCACAGCAGGAGCCTTTGTTAGTGTCTTGGTCACTGTCAGCCTGATCACTGTCCCCATGCCCGCTGTCCCTCAAGCTGGCTCTTTCTGGATCCTTGAATGTGGAGCTACTGAAATACATATTTAAAAAAAGGAAAAAAAAAAAAAAAAAAAAAAAAAAAAAAGAGAGAGAGAGAGAGAGAGAGGGAGAGTTGTATTTACTTGTTCTAAGTTGAATTGTACTCTTTGGCCAAGCAATTTTGACAAGAATGCAAATGGGGAAGCTGAGAAAGTTATTTAATAGGCCTTACCTTTGAACAAACTGCTGCCTGCTGCCCATGTAATTGGGCTCTGCGGGAAAATTGTCTGTCTGTGAAAGAGAAGGAAAAAAATACGTATAGTTGTACACTGGACAAATCTCCTGCAGAGCAACAAGATTTCCTAGAGGAGAAATGATTAATAATTCAAAAATTCCCTTAATCTTTAGATTTGTACATTTTAATTAAATTGGAAAATGCTGGCATGTAATTATGTGCTCAGAACAATTAAATGATTCCGGTCCACAAATTACCTGCTAAAGTAAACAATGAGGCTCCAATAAGTGGCATTCTCTGTGAGCAACCTGACAGATGACTCTGTTTATGTTTTTTCATTAGTTAGATATTAAGACTGATGGTTATTGAAAACGAGAGAAAAAAAAATACTTTGTGTATTACGAAAGTGAATTATTCAATAATACTAATTTTTAATCATAATTACATCATCTACTGGGATTCTGAAGTCCTTACTACTATAATACAATTTCGTATATTTCTACTAAACATGCAAATAAAGAAGAGAAGAGAAGAGAAG